ATTTTTTTTACCTTAATAGCATTATCTTGTGTCACTCTTATTGGCAAAAAAAATAATAAATGGTTGCAATGCTGCAAGGAACAAAACCAAGTAATATTTATACAATTATTTTTGTTATTACTGTTATTCAATTAAGGCCACGCCTACTTTTATATATTGATTGTTGCAATAAAACGTTAAGTGTGAAATTTCATTCGCTCGTTTTATTTAAGTGTATCATCCAGCATCTCGTCTGTCTATACCCCAAGCGTCACTGCGACTATACTCCACGCATGTAGAAGCGCGCCAAATTTCTGAAAGCAGTATTCTCAAGTTGCTAGACATTTCCAGAGAGATCTCCGCGCAAAGATAACAGGCCGCGTGCGTAATGTTTCAAATGCGGTATACCGACAAGATAGCAATAGTCTGGTATTTTCGTACAACTGCTGCTGTTTGGTTTTGGTTTTCAGGTTGGTATCATTGACACCCCTCCCCTCCTTTTCACACACCCCTTTAACCCGTCAGGAATGGTGTGTAAAGTTGTTTTATGTTCGTGGAATGCTTAGAATTACTTTGAACCGTTTCCGATGACATATCCCGCTAAGGCCACTCGGCCCAGCGTAGCATGGATAATGGAGAACACTGACCCTTTGCCGCTTGCCGCCGCCCTGACCCCCTCCCCGCGTTGCGCCGAGCCGCTAGCCCGCTAGCCGCTGCCGCTGCTGCTACTGCTGCCGCATCGCGGTCAAGGTTGCGCCGCGCCAGACCCACACAGGCTGGCCACAACGGCAGACGCTCTTATCGATCGGGCCGCGATCTGTCTCAACACGACGTTTTTTTTCTCCGAACATTTATCGTTTTCCTTCTGCTGGGTGTGTATTTTTGCTGATAAAGTAATCGGTTAACCCGTCTGCCACACACTGTGGTCTGTCTTGGCGTGTGTCACTAGCGAGGGGGGATTTGTCTGCTGTGAACCAGAACATCGCTCATTCATTTGGAAATTTCGCGTGCTAGCGGGGTTGGGTTTGCTGGGTGACATCAGGTGACTGACGGAACTCATGTGCTTGTGAAAGTGTGAAGGCTGAAGGTATTGCACAAGACTACCAGGTGCTCTCAATATTTCGAAGTGAAAGTTGAAGATCGGCGTGTTTGCGGTAGCCTAATCGTGCGCGAAGAGTATTCAGTAGGTTAGGAACCTTTCCTACCTTGACGCAAGGATAGGTCGCGGACTAGTGTCTGAGTCGACAAAGTGTTACAGTTCCTTATTGTTGAAATTTGAAGTGTCTTAATAATGAACAGTTCCGTAAATTTAGTCGTCTGCCTGTACTGTTATCCGAGCGTGTTTTTACAGCTGCCTTGGCCGATGTTCAACTGAAGGCAACAGTCCAAGCTGTTCTAAAAATAGTGTTTCTAAGACTACTCAGGTCACATAGGACATTTCCCTGTGTTTTTGTCAAAGCTGGTCAGTGTCATATAAGCAGGCCATTATTCATGTTAGGAAACACAACTGATCCTGAAATTTAAAAAAAATAAATTGTTTTGTTCATTGCTGTGTTTGTGTGTGAACATAGTGAAAGTGCACTTACAGTATTTAATTTTGTCATCAGGTTGAACTGACCAATGCACCATTGACTTTGACTTAAGCATCCTTCCAAAGTTCAATCAAGATGCATCGAGCAAGATCTGTTGCAACAAAATTATCACCCCTCTTGGGCACTGAACAGTTCGGAACATGGCTTCTGCACAGTAGCAAGCCAACTCGATCGCTGTCTATAACAGCAAGCAGACATTATAATGCACCTGTTGCAACTGAACCCTTCCTCAATGGAAGTTCTTCTGCTTATGTTGAGGAGATGTACAATGCCTGGCTTGCAGACCCCAAGAGTGTACATGTGGTAAGTTCCTTATGCAATTAGTTTAACATCATCTTTTGGAGCAAAAATAAAAAATTCCTTTGGGCTATCACCTTCATGGTGAGGTGATACCATAGCAATACCACTATATTATCACAAACACAATTGTTCATGCCAAATTTTAAACCAGTAAGAAATCTCAAAACATTTGCCATCCCAAATAGTTTTTAACCTTGGTTTGCTTATCTTCGGTACAGTCGTGGGATTCATTCTTCCGCAACAGTGCTGGTGGAGCTGCCCCAGGGCAAGCCTACCAATCTCCCCCATCTCTGGCACAGCCTGGAAGAAACCAAGTGCCGATTTCTAGCATTGTCCCTCATCTAGGAGGTGGGGGAGGTTTACCCAGCCAAGTTAGCGAGAAACTTATTGATGACCATCTTTCTGTTCAGGGCCTCATCAGATCTTACCAGGTGAGTTCACTTTTAACAATAAGTTTGATTAGGTAAGGTAGCTTTTTCCAATCCTGGAATCTGTATTTATAAACATCTCATTTTAGGTGTCTGATTGTTTTCTATATTTTGGTCATATACACTTTAAACTAATTTTGTGTGGTTTCTTACACTGTCAAAGCATGGTTGTGATAATATTTAGCTTTTTCTTAGTCTACCAATAGAGGTGTATTGAAATATATTTTATTACACTCTTTGCAGGTTTTTTTCAGATTTCTGAGACAATAGTTTCAATTGTTTCTTATTGCCCAGTATTTGTGTTAATGTGATTTGCCATACTAATACAGCAATGTGTATTACTAACGCTATTCAGTTACCATATTCACTTTTATCCATCAATTAGTACTCTCAATAATTTAAGAGGGGACAAGTTTCCATATACATTATGTATAGTTTCTGTCTAATGCTCAAATTGCAGGCCGCTCAGAGATTAACATTAAGAAAGTCAGTATTCCCTCAAGAAGCAATTTTATCATATACTATGTCTATTGTACAACAGTCAATGTTTTTTGACAAGAGTGTCGTTTTTTTGATTGTTTGTTTACCTATAAGGTTTGTAGTTGTTATACAGGGTGGTCCACAGACCTCTTCCTTTATTTTGCTTATACTTTTGCGGATGCAGGCGTGCGCCTGGGTTGCATACTCGCATGGGGCCATAAGGCGCAACGGTAAGCTAGGGTAGGCAAGCCCGCCCGCACACCTGCATGCGGTACAGTGTAAGCAAACTAAAGAAAGGGGTCACCCTGTAGGTTTAGATTCAAAACTGCATGATGTGCATGGTGGGCAAAAGATAAAATACATTTTTCAGTTTAATTTGCCTCTGAAAATTTCTATCTAGCATCTTGATTGAGTGTTTCATTTTGGAATCGGTCATTTGTCTTGTCTGTCACCCTGGATCTGATTGAATGTTCGTATTTTGATTTGGTAGGGTAAGAGGGGGCTGTTAGGACTAAAATTAAACTGTTTCATTTTAAATTTCTAGACAGTGAACTATATCAATTATTCCCAATCAATATATAATAAATCCAATCTCTAATCTACGACATTGCAAGCATTACACTAATTTTGAGCTTAGCATGTTCAAGATGTACTTAGCGTGCTGATTGATGCTCTTCTGACCTTAAGTCTTGCCTCTGCTTTATTTGCCTATTGTCTTTAGGCCCGAGGCCACCTGGCAGCTGAGCTGGATCCGCTGGGCATCATGTATGGCGCCAACGATGAAACTTACACTGTCCGCAAAGGTGCTCCACCAGATGTGGTGGTGCGCCAGCATATGCTGGGTAAGGCTTGGGAACCCTTGTCAGATCAATGCTCGATGTCTGCCTCTGGGCTAATGCAAACTGGGGCTCTTGTTCATTACTTTCCATACATATTTTATCAGTCATTGTCAAGTTTTTATCACTAAGTGTCATTGTAATCTCAAGAAAGCAAGTTGGTCTCAGCTTACGAAATGGTATGAAACAAAGGATATGGGTGGGTTTCAAAATCTGAAAATTATAAATGTTTGGCAGCTTGTGTGTTAAGCTTATGGTGATTGATGCTTAGAGCCTCCAACTACAACGGAAAGCTTTGATAAATTTTTCTTGCACAGTCAGATGGTTTGAATACATTGGCGAATAGTTAAATCTCTTATTTACAATTAATTAACATCTAATAGTTTTCCTGTTTTCATAATAAAATATGGACTAAATGGTGCCAATATTATATTGATGTTGATTATGTTAAGTTTTAACAGTCTTTTGAAAATTTGTAAACTTATTGTGCCCAAGCTTGTGTTGGTGTGGTGCTAAACAAACTTTCAATGCATGTCTTTGCAATGAAGTGGTCCATGAACTGGTGGGAATGCATGCCTAGGGACTTTCTAAAAGCTTGCAACTTGTGGAAATAGCATTATGGTTTGAATGCCACTTCTTTACAAACTGATATGGGTAATCCAAATGATTTGCAGGAAATCCATGCTTGCGTTTTTAAGGACTTATGCTTTGGTGCTAAAGCTGTGCTATGTCAAGTATGCTTGGTATGCCACAGGTGATGTTGCTCTTGTGCAAAAAGCTTATTTCTATTAATTTGGAGCCCAATCAATTAATATAATTAGTGATCCCCCTCCTTTTTTTGTATTCATCACATTTCTCTCTATCTCTCTTTCTCTTTTTCTGTTGCTCTCTTTGGTCATAACTTTATGTACCAATGATGTCTGCTTTACAGGATGAGATTTAATTAGGCATTTCATTTCTTTATTGGTGGCCAGTTGCACAATAGTGAAGTGGCCTGTCGCAGTCAACAACTTCCAGATTGTCTTCTGCTTGCACAAAGTTCCTTACAAACTTTTGACAGCGACTCAGGCTCTCTTTCCCATCCTTGTCTACTTTCTTTCCTCCTTTAAATCTTTGGTGCTTATTGTCATTTATTTTCAGGTTTTTCAAGTGTATAATCCATATGTTGTAGCAAAGTGCTGTCCCAAATCACTATTTTTAATCTAGTGTGTTAAAAAATGATCAGATACACTCCACCTGAATGAGCTTCTCCATAGTTGACATAGGCTAGTAGTATTTGGTGATGGTGTGACATATGTCTCCCCACTGCAATTGCAGATTCGAGGACACCATATTGCGCAGCTGGACCCATTAGAGATCAACAGTGCTGATTTGGATGACTCGCAGCTCCCAGAGTTGCTCTTTAATAGCTATAATTTTGGTAAGATGTTACCTGTGGTCTAAAATTATTCTTTGTTGTTCCTCAATATTATTTTTTTTCTGAATTTTCCTAAAGTTTGACAATTACTATACTTATTAGGAATAAATCTTTTTAGATTTTTGTTTAAACCTATCAAACTAATCTCAATTATGAAGTCTAAGCAAAGCCTTCTGTTTAAAAGGAAACAAACTCTCAATCTTTCAATTTTCCTCTTTGCTTATTGCCTCACTTTGGAACAGATTTCATCCTTTCCATTCTTTTTTTCTTGACGTATGGTTTGCTCCTTGACGAAGCACTATCACTCATTTCAGTTTTCACCCATTTATTCAGCTTCATGTTCATAGTAATCACTTCGCCAAACTTTTGTGTTTTGCTGTAACACCAATTTACACATCAAATGTTTCTTTGGGAGCTCTTTCTCTTGCGTTTTGTCCATCCTTTTCTTTGTTGTCGGTTTTGTGAATTGGGTTTGTTTTTGGGTTTCCCTGCATTACTCTCATTGGTATGTATTCTGAGTCAGACTAAAACTTTAGTAGGGACAGTTCAGATAAAATTTTCAAAAAATTCTAAATTGATCATTGGATAAGGTTTTCCTCCTTTTTTTTCATCAATCATCAGAGATGTTATCAAATACCTAATAAGGCATTCATCAATTAATTATTTCACATGTTTTACTGACAGTTTATAAAAAACAACAACAATACATACAATTTCCTCTTTGCCAACCAGTTACTTACTGTATTTCGCAGACCATTAAAATTGAAAAATTCAGACTTGAATTTTACCTTTGTACATTTAACTTGATCTAGTATTTAAAAATTTTGCCTGCTGGGGAACAGTTAGCATTACTGACTTATTTTCAATAATATTGTTGTTGCTTCTACCTGGCTTAATGGTCACCAGCCCTCTATTCTTTTTGGCCTATTTTCCAAAAATTTTGCCTTCTGGGGAACAGTTAGCATTACTGACTTATTTTCAATAATATTGTTGTTGCTTCTACCTGGCTTAATGGTCACCAGCCCTCTATTCTTTTTGGCCTATTTTCCTAGATATTCTCATTCTAGGGTTTGTATGAATTGAACTTTCCTGTTATCAGCATTCTGAAGTCTTTCACTTTAGTGTTGTTATGTCATAGTGTATATTATGACATGGTTTCTCTCAATTTTCGGTAGATTTAACTTGTTTGTGTGGACATGGCTACCCATCTGTATTATTTTGATTTATTGGCTTAAGTGTGTGGTTTAATATTAGTAGAAATTGTTTAAAGTTTGATATCTTATTGCTTCCATACTAACATCTGGCATGGTGAAGGAATAACTTTGTTTTATATTATACTCTTAGTGGTGTTGGCATCATTATGGTACTTAATATGAACTCCTTTGGGAGAAGTTTTACTCTTGAACTTGCCATGGATGATGTTCGCCTGTGCGAACTCATGTAACCAACTTATGGGACAAGGAAAACTCATCTGGCAACAGGTCTCACAAGCCGTCCATGTTACATTAAGGAGATATGGCCTCTCATTTTCATTACCATCTGATCAGCATTGAAACCTGACAGAACAACTTGATATAATAGTTTCTACATTTCTCCTTTGTGACCAACTTGACTCAGAGAACTGTTAAAGGGGGGACTAGATCAGAAAAGAGGAATGGAACCAGAAAATAATCTAGAATGAGAATGAAAAATGTATTTCATTATCTTTATTTTGTAAAGTATTTCACTGAAATGTCTACAGACCAGGTAGTAAGTTAAATTTTTAGTGACCTGTAGTAGAACATTATCAACTGAATAAGACTGAACCAACTCTATTCACTTTTTTCATGGAACAAGTAGCTTCTTTAATTATTTTTTTTCTATTCATTATGTTCATTGTTAAATTGAATTAAATTACATTACCCACATTACTCCTGTATTTATAGAAAATTTTGAACATTTGCAGAGGAATCTGATATGGACAGAGTATTCAAGTTGCCTTCTACAACTTTCATTGGAGGCAAAGAGAAGTCTCTCACATTACGTGAAATTCTTCGTCGATTGGAGCTGTCCTACTGTCGACACATTGGTGTAGAATTTATGTTTATCAACTCACTGGAGCAGTGTAATTGGATTCGTCAACGCCTTGAAACCCCTGGTATCATGGAGATTGATAATGCTCAGAAGCGTCTTATTTTGGCACGCCTTACTCGTGCTACCATGTATGTATGATTTCACCTAGGTTAATACTGGAGCATCTATTTTGTAGACATTTTTCATTTGCAATCTTGCTGGTTTGTTTTCTAGGTTTGAAGCATTCTTAGCCAGAAAGTGGACCAGTGAGAAGCGTTTTGGTCTTGAAGGTTGTGAGATCCTTATTCCCGCAATGAAACAAGTTATTGATAAATCTACAGAACTAGGAGTTGAATCCATTGTCATGGGTATGCCTCATAGAGGACGTCTGAATGTGTTGGCTAATGTTTGCCGCAAACCATTGAATCAAATATTCACCCAATTTGCTGCACTTGAGGCTGAAGATGATGTAAGTTTAATTTTATTTTAAAATGTAGATCTATTTCTTGAAGTTGTTAAAATGTTCAGTGTTTAATTGTTTTATTGTATTCAGGGCTCTGGTGATGTAAAATATCACTTGGGCACCTACATTGAACGTCTCAACCGTGTAACAAACAAAAACATCCGTCTTGCTGTTGTGGCAAACCCATCCCATCTTGAGGCTGTTGATCCAATTGTACAGGGAAAAACTCGTGCAGAGCAGTTTTACCGAGGAGACACAGAAGGCAAAAAAGTAATTGTTTACTTAATTTTTATTTACTTAGCTTGTGTTCAGTCTGATGTACTTCTAATATTTCTTTCCCTAGGTTATGTCTATTCTTCTTCATGGAGATGCGGCATTCTGTGGTCAAGGAGTTGTTTTTGAAACCTTCCACTTGTCTGACTTGCCTGATTACACAACTCATGGAACAATTCACATTGTTGTTAATAACCAAATTGGTTTCACTACTGATCCCCGTCATTCAAGGTCCTCCCCTTATTGCACAGGTCTGTATTTGCAGTTTACCTTAAATTAACTATCATTTCACATTTTGTTATTAATAAAATTTATCTTTTATGTAGATGTTGCCAGAGTTGTGAATGCTCCAATCTTCCACGTTAATGCCGATGATCCAGAAGCTGTTATGCATGTTTGTAACATTGCTGCTGAGTGGAGGAACACTTTCCACAAGGACTGTGTTATTGACATTGTGAGTTATGTTAATACAAACATCTTTATCCCTCTAAATCATAAGTAGAGGTTGCTTATCCACGTTTAATCGCTATATTTTGGCATAGGTATCCTATCGTCGCAATGGTCACAATGAAGTCGATGAGCCTATGTTCACACAACCACTTATGTACCGCAAGATTCGAAACACTAAGATAACGTTAGATAAGTACGCCGAAAAACTGATTGAAGAAGGTGTTGTTACAAATGAAGAAGTGAAGGTATTTCTTAGTGTGTGTGTGTGTGTG